GGCCGACAAACACTATGTCACAGGCTCAGGCAGAGACTCATAAAACCCTCCTCTCTCCCTAATGTAGCAGTAATGAAAATGATTATAACAAACCAATGTGTGCCAAGCAACACCCATCAACTGGGAGCTTTGATTACAGCTGTGGGTCAACGCAGGGCAATTATAGAGAAACATTGCGTCACGCTGTTTATGGGAGCAGCGATGTGACAGAGCTCCCTGAAGCCCTTTGTCCTTGTAGGAGAGAAAGAAAAAAAAGAGCAGAAGCTATGAAGAGCTGGTCCGTTCGTTCACGGAGGCCCGTAAAGCGTTATTTAAAACAGACAGAGTTATCTCAGCAATGACTGGGACACTGAGCTGAAGCCTTGTGGGGTCAGAGTTTTGAGTTTTAAAGGGTAATGTGATGCAAATTGTGACAAAAGATCACATTTTCTTTTAACACGAACTGTTTTCGAAGGAACTGTGTGTTCTGTAAAAAGTACATGATAGGACCAAATGTATGTGGACAGTTATGTCCGCCCTCGCTTAAAGCCTAACAAAACCTTTCATGTTGAAATATAAAATAAAATCTGTCTTTCATTAACCTGGTCAAACAAGGACATCCAGAACCACCGATGAAGAGCCACAAATAGACATTGCTTCATTTTAAGGGGACACGAGCCAAAAAAAGTTGGGAACCCATGTTTCAAACACGTGTGTGTTTCAATTTGAGGCAGGAGTGAAGACCTGTTCCTGTTGCAACATGACAATAGGCATGTAAATATAATCAACGCAGAAAGATGTCCCCTGTGACTGCTACACTGTCATTAGATTAGAATCACTCATGCATTCAGGGAGAAGCAGGATTTTACTGGTGTAGTTGGTTGGGGTGGAGCTCTTCAACTATTTTGTATCAGAGTGCCGATGATGATTGTTTTCATCATGGATTTATTTGCCGATTGTTTTCTTCAATAAATAATTGGTTGTTTGGTTTGTAAAAATTTTCATAATAGTGAGAAATACTGTCACATGTTTATTTTGTCCAAACAGTGGTACAAAATTCAAAATTATTAGAATAATTAAAGGAAAAGCAGAAAATCCTCACATTTTTTTAAACTTAGAACCATGAAATGTTTTTGCAATTAAAAAAAATGATAAAAACAATTATCAAAATAGTTGTCAATTAATTTTCTATCAATCCACTAATCCTTTCAGCTGTACTTGTATATACTGTTGGGTAGTGTAATTGATAGAAATGTTATAAGCTCTTCATACATTAAGCAAAAACTATAATTTGCAAAGCAACTACTGACTTAAGATGCTGAATAATTATAAGGAAGTCAAAAGTACAACATGTCCCTGTGAGATGGAGTGGAGTTTGTGCCATGAAAAGAAAAGACTCAAGTGAAGTACAGGTACCTGTGATTTGTACTTTTGCTTGAGTGAATGTACTTTGTTACATTCCACCACAGAAACCTGACCTCAACTCCGTTCAACATCTTTGTGTAAAAACTGGGAACATTAACTGTTGTCTCTTATAAAAGAGATTTGAATATATTACTTTTTTGGGAATTTGTAGTTTGACCCCTAACAAACATTTTAGCACTGTCCGGTGTGTTTTTATGGGACTAGTGAGGCTTCACAGACATCAGAAGTGGCTTCCGCTGAAGTGACACAGCTTCATCTAAATCGTACATGACAAAACATCCACAGAAATCCGAATCCCAAACACTCCAAATATGTGCCGGCATATTCAAAACCTGCAGAAAGCAATTACTCTTAATTTCACAAGTTGGAAAAAAAAAAAACATGTCGACAGTGAAAAACGAGAGCTGAGAGAGTGATCGCGCTAATTTGAACTAAATGGATTCCTTGTGTTTTCAGAAACACTACAGTCAAACAAGCCTCCCTGCTCTCCATCTCACAACACAGACGGGCCGCTAATCGCCGCTGAAGGTCAGTCTTCTTGTTCCAGCGGAGCGGCAGTACAGGACAACCTGCTGACAGGAATGCGTGGTGGGACGATTAAAAGCACATTACAGACATACTGGGGATAACAGAAGCGCCCCTTCTGCTGGGACGACCTGTTAGCTCGCTGCTAACCCATTTAACTCGAGCTAATTACTCACACACTCGCACACTGTTTTCTGTTCACAGCCGAGACTAGTGGCCCTCTGCAGCCACCATCTGGAGAGGCTCCAACCTCCGAAGTACCAAAACAAAGTATATACTTTTCTCTCTTGAGGCGGCGGTGCCCTTTGTACACAAACAGGTTGATCCAGGTTGAAGACATTATTTCCACTGAGGGGGAAGGAGTCCATTCAGCATGTGCCATGATTATTTTGAGAGGTATTAGGAGCCGTGGGCCTGATTCTGACTTTTTGGGAGGCTGACACGGTGCAGGCCTCCTCACAGGTGTGCAGTGTGGTTTTTTTTCCTGCGTGTGCACTGGTCAGGTCACCTCGGTGTTTCGGATAGATCGAAGGACTCCCAAGGAGGAAAGAAAAGATGCAGAGGAAGAATGTGACGGAGAGACGGCAGGTTGAGTATTGAGGACGGAAGGGAGGCTGGAGGGAAGAGCGGAGAAGTTTCAATGACTATCTCATGACTTTCCATAACTGCATCACAGCTATTCTACAGCCTGTTCTTCCTTTCTGGTTTGCAAATATGTTTCAGCCCATACCAAGTATTATTAAAGGGCTTAAATAGTCTGTTTCCTTAACTTATTAAAACAGGAAGTTAAAAAAGTTGTAAAATACATTCTCGCATTCAAAAAATTCTGTAACTTGCAGAGACAATGACTCCAACCAGAGGAGACTTACTGTTCCTGGCCAAGAAATAGTCCCAACATAATACCCCATACCCCATAAAACCACAAGGTTTTTTCACACTTTAGTTTTTGTGCAGATGGAACAAACAAGATGTAATCATCATTGAGGTTGACAGGTGCTGGTAAGTGGATTTTGGTACCTTTGCACAGAGCCGGGATAGCAGTTTCCCACCATTTCCAGTTTTTGGGGAGAGCTAAGCTAACTGGCTGCTGGTGGTAGTTTCATATTTAGCATGCAGACATCGATCTTCTCATCTATCTCTCTGCATTAATCCAAAAAAAGGATTTCTTTAAGGTGTACTGCTCTCAGAATTTCATGATATTCCTAATAAATAAAAATAAAAATGAGGCACAGATGAAAGAGGAAACACACAACCGAGGAAAATGCTGAAGACGGCTGGCTGGCTTCTAACTAGAGACAAAATTCCTCCACAAGATGTGAACCAGGTTCAAACTCTGTAGTACGTCTGTATATATCTGCCTCTGAGCACGACACTGAATTGAAAAGCAAATTTTCTTCTATTTCTTACCATTGTCTCACCTTCCCCATGAGGAACGCCACGTTTGAGCCCGGGTCACTGTGAGAAGGCCTCCAGCTCTCCACGCAGACGCCTCGCTGTCTCCTGGTTCACCGCATTACGCACCTTGGGCCCGGTTCATCGCCACGGTAACCACGGACCCCCTGCGCTCCGTGGCCACGGTCTGCACCGTAACTAATGACAGAGAATGATAAACATGCAGAGACTGAAACCAATATGGACCACAACACTTAGAAAGGGGCCGACCCCGGAGACGTTAAGTTGAACCTCCACAGTAGGAGGGACGGAGACGGAATGCAAATGGTTTTACGGGGACAGACTTCACGACACAGACGGTGACAGACGAACGATGGAAAGGTCTGGGGTTGAGGTGACCGCCTTGGGCTCTCACTCTGTGTGTTTATAAGAGTGTGTGAGTGTGCCAGGGGTTGTGGCTTGAGGTTGCAGCAGGTAGTTGACCTGACATTGTTTAGGGTAATCCCATGGGAATCCAGCTGTCAACCGCAGGCCCGAGGCAACTGCATCCAAGAGAAAACAGCACGGAAAACAAAGCCACTGGGCTCACGCAGGCTATTCTAGGGAGCAACGACTGCTGAACAAAACCCGGTGAAGTGATGCAAGGCGGGACGGGGGGGGGGGAGAAAAAAAGCCAATTTGTCTCAAGCAGCACTTTCTACTCTGCTTCACCTCAAACAAATGATCACACAGTGCAGTGTGCGTAAGGGAGTGGATACGCGTCTTAACTTCCCGTGTGTGTGGTGTTGTTTTCCATTGTTTTTACTGAGTCTGAGCAACAACATGCAGTGAGCCAGCAGCGCAACGCAAATTCAACATTATAGCATCACATTCTAGTTGTATAATTCTCTGAGAGGAGTTTTTCCAATTGTATGCATTTTAAACGTGTTTTTAATCAATTGAGAATAGCTCTGAATTGATGAGTCAATTAAAAATGTGTCAACTGTTTTGATAATTGAGTAAAGTCTTGTTAAGCTAAAAGGACAATTTCAGACTTTTTGTATTTTTTTTAAGACTAAATTAATCAATTACAGTAATCATAAAATTAAAATAATAGGAACAGCGTTGATCAACAATGTACCTTTTTCTTAGCACATATTTAACATGTCCTATAAAGAGAACTATAGGTGGGACTAAAAACATGAATAATGCCTGCGTATCATTAAGTTTCACCACTTTATGGCCTTGGCACTGTGCATGCTGGCTCACCGGGTCATCAAGTGGGACTTAGCCCTCATTTAAGAGTTTTAAATACACCTGTGATTGTTCTGTTATGACCAGTCAACGTGTATGTCGTGAAAAAGGTCCATCTATCACGTGATGAATGACACTCAACTGTGTGAAAAGCGTTTAGGTTGTGAGCGGACAGGGAAGTTAACCTCCTATATTTGTCATTATAAAACTGTGGACACTTGTGTGTTCTGTGTTGGCTCTTAATGATGACGTCTTGCTTTGAAGACCCACAATCCTCACATACATCACCGTTGAGTGTGATGTAGCAGTGATTGTGTGTGTTCTGACATTACAGAAGCCTCTGCTGCCCCCTACAGTCATTATGAAGTTACTGCATGTTTCCACACATACCTGTTCACGTGTCCTCACCTCCCGAATGAAATACTGACAACAAACTCTCCTTTATAGAGTTTTTAAATGTTTTACTGACAGGTAACTGAGCCCATAACATAGGTCAAAGTCCGTTTTAGCGCCATAACACTCACTCCTACAAAACGTAATTTATACACAAAGTGCCAGCACATTTCACAAATGACATTAACATCACTCAAAAACAAAAAGTAGCGTTTTCTCCTATTTTTGCAGCATGCTAGCTAGCTTATATGCAGGTGCAACACTTTTATACTCCCCCACAGAAACAAGAACAATGCACTAACGGTTCTGGGTCTCGTGTTGGTGCATTGCGGTGGTAGAAACTACCGACGTACAGCAGAGGGCGACATTGAGCCGCTCTGCAGGTCAAGAGTTTCGTCTGCAATGCAACTCTACGCTCCTATAAATGATTTTAAAAAACAAAACTCCACACCCGATTTTCTTTATTTTTTTAATAAAAGATTTCTCTTTCGTGTTCTTTTTACACATGTTAAGGCATCATGCACAAAAAATAAGCCACACTAAAAGGCATTATGCTTACCCTCTACCAAAAATTAAATGGCCTAACATTTGATTTTGCAGTTAAAAATAAGTTTGTACAAATATGGCATGTAAGCTGGCATGTCAGTGAATCACAAAGCAGCACATCACCTGCTTTCACCGCTTTTGTAAACATGGCTTTGAGCAAAATAGGGCTGAAGAAAAGACGAGAGAAAGGGAAAGCATGCTTCAACGTGGGGCTAAATTTCCCTGGCAAGCATGCAATGCATCTAAAATCATATTTACAATGCATCATTTTTACTCTCAACAGAGTTTTTTTTTTTTTTTTTATTTATTTATTTTTTAAATTGTATCAATTAAAGTTAAGACGTTGAAAAGTTTGTTGATAACAACAGACAGACTGACAGACAGAAAGACAGGTTGTGTCCATGAAGTTTCCCACCCCCAGCACAGACGTAGTTCAGATTTGTCATCAAACAAAACGCTACAAGATTTTTTTTTTTTTTTCACAGGCAGTTGTACCTCCAGACAAATACTTTCATCTGGAGGGTATTACAACCTCAAAAAACTGAAGGTTCCTTTACGTTTTCTTGTGTGTATTTTATAAATTTGTGTGAAACAGCCCAACTGGGGCTAAAAATTAGGTTTAAAAAAAAAAAAAAAAAAAAAAATCTTGTAGTGTCCACCAAGGCAGACATCTGGGAGGTGCCGGTAGCTTTGGCACAGTTGTGTCCAGTTGTGCTCTTTTGTGATGATCCCTGTGCGTTATACTATATTGAAGACCATGGATAGATATTGTTCATATGAAACCTGGATCCAGCCATCCTGGTCTGTATCATAACGCCTGAACACGTCGGTCAACCTCTGTGGAAGGAGAGGGAAAAACAGTGACTTTAACTTCTCGTTCTCATCTCAAGGTCTCATTGCTCCAAAGTGGACAAACATCTATTCATACTGATACGGTGTGGTATTGAAACATCCTCGTTCCAACCCTTTCACTCTCGATTTCACAACATTATCATCATCACATTTCATGCATTTACTACCACAGCTAACATTCAACAGTGAGTCACTGAAAAGCAAGTCCTTGAATTCTTTACCCAATACTTCAGAAGACGCGGATGCATCGACACAAGGTCATTCATTTGAATATAGGTCTGAGGAAGCTGCGGTTATATTACTCTCCTGGTGTACCTGAAGAGCTGCTTCTGTATTAGTCAAAGGCTACAGCTACGCTTGGCAGCTTCTATTACAATTGTACGAAAACCACTGAAACGGAAGATACATACAGGCTCAAGTGGCACTTCAACGAGGGATTAATAATCTAACAGGGAGGACCGTAACGCCTTTCTTAAATATGCATAAATAAAACTTCCCCCGTGTAATCTTACGAATACAAGAGCAGGCTCGTTGTGATGCGAGTAGTAGACCAAAAGGACTTCCTATGCTACTGCTTCATCTGGATCTAGTGTGAATCGGTTACCTGTAGTACAATACAGCACTGGACGAAGTCATCAAAGGCCACCTGTCCTTTCCTCTGGCGGTCGAACTTCTCTATCAGTGTGTTGTAGAACTGATCTGATAGACGGTAGCCTGCACACAGCGGCAAACAGGACATTAACAGTGAACTGGACTTATTAGTTCGTCCCTGTAGACACGCTCAGACAGCACAAACACAATCATTGATAGAAATCATGCATAACCAAACATAAACTGAACAGTTCTATTCATGTATTAGTTACATTTCTGTGACGTCGTGTTATCTTCGTCTGAGACATAAATGAATTTTGCGTAATGATTGTTGCGATTGTTTGTTTGTTCTGCATCGTAAATGGAAAGCTGGAACTGCACGTCTGCGGCAGAAAAACCTAACAAGAACTTTGCACGAGCAAAATCAGAAAACTATTCCTTTTAAAAAACGATTTCCAATGACATGCTGATCAATCCAAACACACACAGGCTTACTAAGAAGACAAAATCTGACCTTTTGAAGCCGAGAGAAAGGGCATTCCTAGAAACACCTATCACCCTCCACCATTATCACCGAATGTAATAAACAAGCATACTTTGCTGCATACCAAATCCAGTCAGAGCTAGTTTGAGCTCGTTCTTGTCGATGAAGCCGGAGTTGTCCCGGTCGTAGTTCCTGAAGATGTTCTGCCAGTCCGTGACGTACTTCCACACGCCGCCGAACTCGCTGAAGTTCACCCCGCCTTTGTTCTCCCTGTCAAACATGGCTGAGGGAGAAGGGACGAAAAAAGGTCCATAAGATTATAACAGAGGGAGAAGACCGCTCCATCATCGATACTACACTCCTCAACCTCATGCGGTTCAATCCAATTACCTCCCAACAAAGGGAGTGTTATCACAGGATAAGCTTCTTGCTGGGGGACGGCCAAACAATTGACTGAGTGTAACTCATTTAGTCTAAACTGGAACATATTTAGCTATACTTGTGTTGGCCTACAATGGCACGGTAAAATAAAAAGTCCTCAACCACACTGCAGAGTTTAAAGTTGTTAACCTCCGCTGTATATTACAACCGTTTTAAGAGCGCAGATCAATATTTGGAGTCTGAGGCAGTCGGCAGTCGTCTTTTGAGACCAACTCTCCGTCTTCCTGCTGATGCTCTCCCCTCCTTCTGTTATTGATGGCTGGAGGGTTCCACCACAGCAGCAGTTACTGAAGCCAAAGCCCTCAGATTACTCAAACCGTAATTCATTCATCCGGGTGTCATGAGGACGAGTAGGCAAATAAAACAACTCAGCATAGTCTGAGGACAACGAGGGTTTGTGTAAAAGTTGGTGAGCGTCAGCTGCTACTTACATATGACGGAGCGCACCGTCACCGGGTTGAAAGGAGTCCATGTGCCTGTGAGACAGAACGATACCAGTTAAAAACATTCCAGCCCAGTGAGACCAGAGTGAGTGTGTAGTGGAAGAACAACAAAACTAAAAGCAGTAAAAACTTCAGTTTTTCTAGCAGTTAATGACACAGAAGAGAAGGTGATAGGAAAACCAATTATTCCTAATCATGACGGGAATCAGGTAGCCAGCCAGAAGCAGACGGGTTACCGCGAGGCAAAGCATCATGGGAATAAAGCTGCTGCGGTTGCTAGCATCTTAAATATGTCATTATCTCGTAGAAGTAAAACGCAAGTTGAAATTGTCAAGTGTCTTGAAAGCAGCTGAGTTTTGGGACATGTCATGGCCTTTTCCCCCTCAAACACAAAAATGGTTATTTTTCATCTACGGGACAAACTCTTCAATCTTATGTGAATATACAGTACCTGCCATTGATATGACCAGAAAAACACTGAGTGGGCTTTAGTCCATCAGGGTGTTTGTACTTTATATCCCTCTTCACACTCTCAACTCTCAAGACGCTCTTTATCAGAGCATCTAAATCCTTGCTGACTCACCACCTCCCGTTATTACAGAGAGGCCCGGCAGTTCGGGACCAGAAATAAAAGAGACGGGTGAGTGGGAGGACGCAGGGAAGGGACAACATGAGAGAACAAGTTAACAACACAAAGGAGAAGAAAATGCAATAAGAGGAGGGAACACCAGATGAGAGGAGAAGGAGCTTCTTGTTACAGTAACCTGAAATCTGGAGCCCACTTCTGCCGACTCTCCCCACAGACCCTAAAACAGCGTCTGCAAAATGCCAGCGTGAAGCCTTTTCCTCACCGTGTTGCTTCTGACTGCTTGTTTTTTCTATTTCCCTCCACAGCTAATCTACGCCTGCAGTAAGCAGGTTTGCAGTGTGAGCCGTAACAGCTTAGATACAACTTCAACCTCATTTGAATAAAAAGGTGGTGAGCAAAATGCATTATAGAAACTGTTTGTTTTTCCAAAGTGTCGAAATAAATGATAAAGTGGCAGAAATGGCTTCAGGACACCTCCAGATTAATAAACCGGTCCAGATTTAACTTACACTGGACGTTTCCCTTCCTCGAACTCGCTTTGTTTTATTGATGCTGGAGGCTGTCTAGCGCTGTGGGTAGAGCTGTTCTGGGACCAGGCCTGAAGCTGGGGTTTGGGCCAGAATCTATATTCTTAAACTAGCTATTTAGCTTTCTAGTGGCCGATCCCTGATAAAGCTTTATGCAAACAAGTCTGTGTTGAATCTGTATCAGCTGATGTGGCTAATTGACGATCAGTAATAGATCAAAAAAACATGATCAGAGAATCTCTAAAAAAAAAAATAAAAAAAATCTGAATAAATGTTGCTACAGCACTAGAGGCATCAGAGAAATGACCAGAGGCCGAGAGAAGAAGAACAAGCTGTGACCTCTCCAGCCACACACACACACACACACTTAGCGAGCTGTGAGGTCACCAATGTTTGCCAGACGGACTGCGGCTGCCCAGAGTGAGGTGGCCATATTAGTCTGAGATGTTTGTGTGCGTCTGATGGCAAACAGCGACAATACTCCCTCTGTCCAGTCCACACACTGGGCTCTCTCACTGGCGAGCCCAACCGCCAGTGGTGAGATGGAGACAGAGAAGTGGGGAGGAGGGGAGAGGGAGGGGATATAGGAGGTGAGGCAAGAGGCAGGCTGGTGGAAAAACAGGGTGACGCGACCGCAGCGTACGCACACGCATAACGGCCGTGCTGGAGCTCAGTGAGACACTTGTGTGTACACACACACACACACACACACACACACACACACACACACACACACA